TACCACAAAATAGACCTTTTAAAGAATACAATTTGAGGTTTTTAGGGTATTCGCTAAAGTGCAGCTATCACCACTAATTCAAACACATCTTTACCGCCCTAAAAAGAAAACGTACACATACCCACAGCAGTGACTCCCCAGCCCTCTCCAGCCCCCCAAAACCATCATAACGCTCTGTCTCTGTAGGTTTGCCTGTTCTTGGTATTTCATATTTATATGGTCTGTTTTGTGTTTTCTTTCACTTAGCATACTGTTTTTAAGATTCATTCACCCATGATATAGCATGTTTTAGCACTCATTCTTTTTTATGGCTAAATAATATTCCATTGTATGGTTACATCACATTTCAACCATTTATCAGTTGACAGACACTTGAGTTGTTACATATGATTGTACTTTTTTAAATAAAAAGTACTTTTAAATAGATTTTAAAAACCAATTGCGATGATATTATCCTACGACAGTATTTTGCAATCTCTTAACTTACGCCCTCCTTAAATGTGACTTAAAAATTCCAAATAAATTTAATATCCTGACTAAAAACAAATCGGGCAATTGTAATTGTATATGGCTATTCAGCTGGCATCATCTCCCCTCTCCAAAATAAAAAGAAAAACCAAAAAAATGTTAGCTACTAGGGATTTTTAAGGCATGGGGGAGACTCCAAGGAAAAATATGGTTTAAATGGGTTAAGTGAAGAAATGGCAATAAAAATTAACAGGCAGTGTGGCAGAGAAGAGGTCCCTCTCCGCCTGACAATGCATAACCTATAATTGCTGGTGACTTAAGAAGTAGAGTTTGTGCCTCAAACAGGGTTATTTTTAGATACTTACTGAATTTTAAATGTATACTTTTAAACGGAGAATAAATCTTAGTAGCGGAATTTTATAAGATGTTGCTAAAGGGTACTTTCGTTTAATACCACATTCGGGAAAGAAAAACAAAGCCACGTTCTCGTCTAGGCGCCTTTTAGAAGGAAGGCGGAAGCGAAGGAGGGTGGATGGAGAGCCCCAGGTCACACGCACCTCCTCTGGCTTCCAGGAGACATCGGATGGCTGCTTCCGCCTCCTGAGCGTTGGTAGTTTTGATCTGCTTGACATTATAAGGTTTACTGATCCCAGTCCTAGCTTTGGGCTTGGGGACAGAATGAGGAAGAGAAGTGTAAAACACAGGCAGAAAAACAGCCTCACCTGGCGTGTTCACTGCCCACTGTCTGTACGCGAGATTTACAGAGCTCCATCAGACGGTGATTAAAACAAACTCCTACCTAGACCGTGTCCCTCAAGGCTTCCCCCGCCCCCGCCCCCCCCGGGAGCACTCACATTCCAAGAAGAGAAATGCAGTGCTATGTAGAGCTGCTGACCCTCGGTCTCCCAAACTGGGTGGGTTTTGCAATGTGGACAAGCCATTGTCTAACTTCATTTCGACAGCCAGGAAAGAGCCAGAAAGTACATCAGAGGCCATGCCTTCCACGGCCCAGCCGAGCTATTAAAAACCTTCCGGATATATGCTTCTGCCTCTTCGCCTTTCTACCTTTTCACCCAAACTTCTGGGTTGCCTGATGACCTGCCCTCATTCCTGTAAACCGCTGATGTCTCGTCAACCCCCTGCTCCTCCTCTGAATGCGTGAGCCTCCGGCCCAGCTCGCCACACCTCCAAGGAGATTCCAGCTTCCACCCAGCACCCCGGCTTCTCCCCGCCACCCCACCTCGATTCCATCGGCCTTCACCTACTGTCTCTAGCGGCTCACTGCCACCCTCTGGAACCTGCCACCTCTAAAACCCCAATGATTGTTATTGCATGTGTCCCCACTGCGTCCTTGGCCCATCAGATCTCTTTTTAGCCTCTTCTCTTAGCTGACCTGATGCCAGAATGAGCATCATTTTGTCTAAAAAACAGATCTGAATTTCTCTGATTTTCGCTTCCACCAAGCACCACCCTAGGCACCAAGGTCAACGCCAACTATCAGAAGAGAGAAGCCAATAAGTCTGGAGACCAACGATCCCACCACACAGGGACACTTGGAATTTCAGCAAACGTGAATTTTCTGACGCCTTGTATGACCATCTAAAAGCCCACAAAGGACCTGCCACTGAGTCACAGGGTTTGAGGATGACCTGGTAGACAGGTAGAGGGCTAAAGAGATAGAAATCTATTCATTCACCGAAAAGAGGTGATCCCGTGACTGCAGGGGCTGAGGATGAAGCACGGGGCCAACCCCCTAGGATAGAATGCCCCCAGTTTCGCTTTGAGCTGAGTACTCACCGCCTGCTGAGGCGCCCCTGGCAGAAGCTTTGCCGTCTGCAAAATTGAGTATTGCCCGTGGGTCCCGGAGGAGATGGACACGTCCGAGGCTGACTTTTTCACCATTAAACCAGCTGTGAAAACCAACAAGGGCAGAGTCTCAACCACAGGGACATCACCGGCGGCTTGGAGGCGGGTCCCCAGCCTGCCGAGAGCCGGGGGGATGAGGGCGCAGATGCCATCAGGGTGCACGTGGCCCTCACCAAGGCGCTACTGAGTGTTTCTGGTTCTCTGACGACTTTTGCCTGTTAGTCTGGATTCTCTGGAGAAGCATTATTTGAATGAGGATTTTAGTCTAACGTCCTGGGAGGTCCACATCTGACATAAAAGTCAATTCATTTTTAGGTGGTTTAAAACACTCTGTTACTAGGACCAAAATTTTTAAATGTTTTGTGGACAAATCAAAAAATCCCAAAGCAGGAGAATAATCTACATTGTTATACCTGCAGCTATTCACAAATCATGTTCTTGAACATTTAATGACACAGACCTCGTATGAAAGACAAATGACCAATAAAACGGATACCAATTTTGTAAAAAAAAAAAAGAAAAAATTGCCTGTAGATATAGATATATAATTAGAGAAAGGCTGAGAGTCTTTTGATCAACAGCTGTGATGTGTAGGTAGTCAAATGAAATTAAAACCTTTATTCTTCATATTTTCTGTAAAATTTCTACAAAAATATGACATAATTTAAAATTTTCTGAGTATTAACTCAGAAAATTTAAAAATATGCTTAAAAAGTCATGTGCTCTGGCTTGCCATCAATTACTATTATGATGTAAGCCAACTTGAACCCCATTAGAAATACAGGCTTAGGAAAATCTATGTCTAATTGTCACATTTGCGGGGGTTGGGGGTAGAAGTAACAGCAGAGGTAACTGGAAACTGATCAGGAGCACGTTATTAATGAAAATTTGACGGGCGAAGCATTATTTTTTGAGGAGCCAGGAAGGAAAGCGCTGCCTTGTGAGACCCAGGCTGGGAGAATTTGTCCTCGGGCTGGAGGATGCCCCGGCCCAGGACTCACAGACAGGAAGCCACCCGGTTAGAGGTAGTCAAATGCAAGTTAGTCACCTTGCAAGTTAGTGCACCTGGGCTTACTCAGTAGCGAGGGCTGGCTGCAGCCAAGGAGAGAGGATCCTGAAAGATGCTGGGGGTGGGGGTGAGGGAGGGAGGAGCTTAACAAGCCCCTTGCCTACCCGCCCCCCCAGGCTTCCGGTCTCTAAGGCGTTGAACAGAAAGCAGCTTCAAGCCAAGCGCAGCTGCGGGAGGACCAAGGGCAGCTTTATCGAGGGGTCATTTAATTTGCCGCAAGAAACACAACTGTATCTCTGATATCAAACCCATCATGGACTGAAGACAAGAAGCCCAAAGAAGGCGAAGGGCATGGTGGGGACTCGAAGGCTAAGTAGAAGGTGATTTAGAGCCATTTGTTCAGTAGCAGGAAATATGCAATTATTCCCAGCAGGCGTGGAAGGCCAAAGCAGCAAAGTCTTACTTGGAGGGGGCGGCCTCTGCGGTGGGTGCGGTGGCCGAGGCCTGCTGGGGACCGACAGAGACCTACTTGGAGAACGGTGGCGGAAGTCCCCGACAGCTTCCAGCTCCTGCTTTAACTCCGCCAGGTCGGCATCATCTGGAGGACACGGCGGAGCGTGAACGAGGGGGTCGGGGTCGGGCTGAGGGGTGCACAGAGCCACCTGTGCCAGGAGGAGCTTCTGCGGGACGGCTGAGGTGTCCCCGTGTGCTGGCACAGGGGGTGGGGGGAGGACACCTGGTGCCTGCTTGGGACAGTCAATGAACCCTGGACAAGGTTTGTTGCTCAGACACGAGAGGCACCGACATATTCTGGAGCGTAGGCGTGTTTCCCTCTAAAATAATCACGCCCACCACACGGAGCGAGGGGACAGTGACAACCGGAGCCCCCCATGGAAGTTCTCACTCTTACACCCGACAACTGTTCGGGAAGCGGAGAACAGTCTCCCTTCTCTGCCAGCAGGGCGGCAAGCCCCAGTATGTGGTGTCCCAGCTCGCTCGCGCCCAGTGCCAGCTCCTCCATAAGTGCTCGCCGCCCTCGCCCGTCCTGTCAGAGCCTTCCGAGGCTGCGCGGCACGAGGGGTGACCGCGTCTGCTGTATCGCGCACATGTCTGTTACACACAAAGTCAGGACACGTTTAGGTCTTCGTTCTCTCTCACCCTACGGCACAGACACCCCCTCACATCCACAGCTCCACCGCCTGTGATGTGAGGCTGATCTAGGAGAAGCAGGGGTTCTCCTTCTAATGGGAATGCTTGAACCCCGTGGGGTGAATACGGCTCAATGCCCCCTGCCCCCCACTCTAATCTTCATTCAAAG